GTAACAGATTTCTGCAGTTAAGTATTCTTAAATATAACATCATGTAGTAGATTTCTGCAGTTAGTGTCCTTAAATATAACATTATGTAACAGCTTTCTGCAGTTACGTATCCTTAAATATAACATCATGTAACAGATTTCTGCAGTTAAGTATCCTTAAATATAACATCATGTAGTAGATTTCTGCAGTTAGTGTCCTTAAATATAACATCATGTAACAGATTTCTGCAGTTAAGTATCCTTAAATATAACATCATGTAACAGATTTCTGCAGTTACGTATCCTTAAATATAACATCATGTAACAGATTTCTGCAGTTAAGTATCCTTAAATATAACACCAGGTAACAGATTTCTGCAGTCAAGTATCCTTAAATATAACACCAGGTAACAGATTTCTGCAGTTAAGTGTCCTTAAATATAACATTATGTAATAGATATCTGCAGTTAAGTATCCTTAAATATAACATCATGTAATAGATTTCTGCAGTTGAATGTTTTTAAAAATAACACCAAATGACATCAGATGACACATTTTTTACAGTTACATGTTGTTGACTATAACAACAGATAAAAGCTTTCTGCATTTAAATTAAGTATAAAGATACACGTTAGTTAAGTTGCTCTGTATTTAATGTTGATGAAAGCTCTGTTTGTTTGTTATTCATCAATAGTTTAGAGACAGATTATTATAACAAGTTTCACGATGTAATGTACAGTAAATAGTCCAATGTGACTTTGCTATAAAATACCCATTACAAACCTTTTTGGTTTTATTGTGGAATAAACTCTCTCTCTTTTTTTTCATAGCAAAGTTACATTGGACTATCTACTCTGTCCACCGCGGAAAATCTGTCCCCGAATTTTAGCATTATAAATCCGTAGACTTACCGCTGTCCCACCGAGAGACCCAAAAGGGGGAAGATACATCCAAGTATAGGAATAAAACGCGCTGTGTTTATTTAGTTAGTAGACACGATATGATATAAATAAATCAACGCGAAGTTAAAACGTTTTCTTGGAGTTCTATCGTCGAACTACACCTGATCCTAAGTTCAAGGCTTGTATACCTAGCAAAGTGTGACTTGTTCAACGTACGAAGACCATATGAATAATTCATCCAGCAGGCCACGTAATTAGGACAAACGTGTCATGAACAAAAAACGTGGTGGGCCACAATGTTGTCTTGTATTCATTTAAATATATCAACAGATCCGTTTTCTGCCCTTCATACGAAATGCATAAGAAATGTTCAATCTTTGGGTAACTGTTTGCATTTATATTTATAACAAAAGAAAAATGATGTTTCTTTAGAGGTCTTTCATGTGGCAGTATTATGAAAATAAAACTTTGCCCTATATAACTAACCATCTAATCTGGTTCTCTGTCTTCTTCTTCGAATTTTTTAAAATAATTTTTATATATAGTTATACAAAATATTCAAACCGTAAATTACATGACTCGGTTTATATCACCAATCTCACAACTCAACTACATTCACTAAATTCAATTTCACAGCATGACGATTACGGTTATAAAACCAATTGTAAATCTAAAATGTTCTTGTTTTATACTCATTAACCGAGCTTCAAAGAAGTTTCTCAGATCCGCTGTACCTCAGCTTAATTTCCTGAATAAACCTCAATATTACCATTTTTTTTGGAGGAAAAATATGGATGGAATTTTTGTTTGGATGTAAGGCCAAATAACGTTACACAAGTTTGTTTATTTATAATTAAGCACAAAGCTACACAATGGGCTATCTGTGCTCTGACCACCACGGGTATCGAAACCCGGTTTCTAGCGTTGTAAGTCTGCAGACATTCCGCTGTGCCACTGGGGAGGGGGGGCAGTTTCACAACTATCGCCAATTTACAGGCATAACGAAGAAACATTAGTTTACAGCGTATGATAAAAAACAATTTCACTTATTGAGTTTTATTTTTTCAATCTATCTAGTGGACTATACAGGTATTCATTTAAAATTGGCTTCTAAGGTTTATGTACAAACATTATATACGTTTGTTCTTTTTTGATATTATCTAAGACATTGCTCACTATTCATTGAATTGAATACTATAAAGTTATCTTAAACATGAAACTGTAGTCTTAAAGTTTATAAACAATATTTAATTTTACCCATCGTAATCTTTCAAATCATAGAAATGTAACCACAGTCTAGGGATTCGTCTAGCACGAGTTTTTAGCTTCGTACGCAAGTTAAGATTCTCTATTAATTAAATATTCTGCTAAGTTCATAAAAATATTGCTATTTTAACAATTAACAAAGCTACCGTACTGATGACTTCAACCTACTGATACAAATTCACAGTGTAAAAAACAACAACATATTTTAGCGAATTGAACGGTTAGTGGGTCTCAGAAGTAAAATGTTCAGAAAAGAAACGTTGAAAAATAGTTATTTCTGTTATTCGCTGATTAAGTCAAAATAAAATAATGGCATTTAGAAAACGTTCTATTGTTTTATGTTAAAAACAAAAAATTGTTTAAGCTGAAAGTTTGGCCAATGTCTTTTTATCATTCATTTCAAAAACAAATATACTCAAATAATGATTATTTATAGGACTTCATTATAAGTTTGTTTGTTTTTGAATTTCGCGTAAGACTAGAGAGAAGGCAGCTAGTCATCACCACCCACCGCCAACTATTGGGCTACTCTTTTACCAACGAATAGTGGGATTGACCGTCACATTATAACGCCCCCACGGCTGAAAGGGCGAGCATGTTTGGTGGGAGAGGGATTCGAACCCGCGAACCTCAGATTGGGAGTCGAGTGCCTTAACCACCTGGCCATGCCGGGCCTTCATTATAAGTACATGCTTTGTGAACTTATCTAGATATGCATAGACTAGAGTAGACTCCTTCTCATATGTATGACAATGTTTATAACAGTTCACATAGTCGTGCAATAATAACAAGAGTAATCTAGACAATAAAACGTAAGGATTACAGAAAAACTAAAACGATGACAAAAATTATAAATACATTCTTCGGGATGGAAACATGTAAATGTCAGGGGAAAATACTTTAACTGCCAATTGCTAAAGCAAACTGAAATTTCAATCGTAAATCGTTAGTTCGATATTCAGTTTAACGTTTAGATGCAGGTGTCGATTGATTGGATTGTACTCTTTTTTATTTTTTTTTCGCTGCCTGGAAAAGACAAGAAAAATGAAACTCGGTTTTTGTGAATACTCTATTCTCAAACGGAAATCTGAAACAAACATTCGGATAGTTCAAATTAAAGATACATTATAAACCATTTACTGACATTCTCGGGCAGCTATATCGTTGTTTGACTATTACACACTCTACTGTTAAAACCGATGTTGTTGTTCCTTGTGCCTGTAGTCTAATGGATTCCAGACGATCTCTAGTGTAACGTTGTCATATATAATTCATACTTTTGTCATAGGTTTTATTCATAACAAAAAGTTTTATTTCAATATCGCACGACTCTGATTTGTGATTCGACTGTTGAAACGGGCGGTGGAAAAACCATTGTCCTCGTAAAATAAATGGATTATGGAACTCATACAAAGAAGAATGGTGTGCTTTGGACATAATAGCCTTACGACGGAGACTTTTGTAATGTAATCTATGCTTAAGGCTATTGTCAGTCATCAGATAGATCATAACCGGACGTGGCTGTAACGATGTGATATGGCTCTAATATAACATACACAATCTTTGTATTTGTATTTATGTCATAAATAACATTGTTAACTCCAGCCAAATACCTACAAAATCATTAGATTACTTAAATAGTCTAACATATATAAAAATTATTTTGAGAAACTAACTTCAATTATACACCATATATTTTAAGCCCCAGAGTTTAGAGGTTGCTGGAAAAACAAACAAACAAGTCTTTCAACCAGATATAGTACAGTAAAAAAATAACTTGTGCCGATTTAAATGTTTTAAAATGAGAATTAAATTTTTAAAAAAATCAAGACGATTCAGCAAATTATCTCACCATCGTTTTACCAAGTGCAGTTGTCTTAAAATGAATCAAAATAGAAAGTAACACCTCCACCTCAGTACTTAGTCATTTTAAGTCAACACATTCTTTGTACTGTACAAATAACGTTTAGGTTCAATAACCTAATATATTTGATTACAAGAAAAATCTAAAATACAACCATGCCACTTTGTAAACGTATTCAGATCCTTAAAAAAAAAAAAGTTTATTTTCTTGTTTCAGAATTTCGCACAAAGCTGCACAGTTGGTTGTCTGCATATTGTCTCCGTTAACTTATTTTGAACTGATAGACTAAAAGAAAGACAGCTAGCCAACATCACCCACCGCCAACTCTCAGGCTACGCATCCAGTTCCCCAAATTGGAGCGCGAAAATTCTAAAACAAAAAAAAATCCTAAGGTGCAGAGCGCGTTTTTTATATATATTTTTATAACAGGAGGCGCACTTTGTACCGTCGGATCCACAGTCCGAACACGCCAAGCCCAATGAAAAGATAAAAACTATAGAAATAACTGAATATAAAGGTACCTGTTTAGATTTCGTCTTGCAATATGACTGTCAACCATGGTCGGCTGAACATAATGGGACTTTAACTCCTGCTTCGCGTTATTCTTTTCTCAACAATACACTAAACGCGATTCTTTAAATCACCAAAGCAACTATGAGCTACAATGGTTGAAAGAAACGACCCAATGTATACAGACACGGTTATTTGAGAATAATGGCTGGTTTGCTTATAAGACATAAATAGTGTTAACTATCCACAGCAGTTATCTTAATGCGGTGGGTTAGTTTGAAATTATACGAAAACTTACACAAAATTTTATTTTTATATTTACTCTTCAGTCTATCTAGACAAAAAGCTGTAGGTGTGTTATGTGAAACTATACGTGTGTTATATGGCATATTTTGTTTTATGTATAATCAGTATATATGTGTTTTTTTTCTGTTGTTGTTTTTCAAATTGACTAAGAAGTGTTTTCTTTTCGCGGTTTCTCTTGTAATTGAAAAATTAGATTCGATAGGCCTTGCTCAGAGAAATGGTTGTTACCTTAACAACATATCTATATGTTTCCTGTTGTTTTTCAATTGACCACGAAATGTTATTAATACGTCATTTATTTCTTTTCGAGGTTTCTCTTATGATTGAAAACTATATTCGATAGGCCTTGCTCAGAGAAATGGTTGTTACCTTAACAATATATCTATATGTTTTCTGTTGTTTTTTAATTGACCACGAAATGTTTTTAATACGTCATTTATTTATTTTCGAGGTTTCTCTTATGATTGAAAACTATATTCGATAGGCCTTGCTCAGAGAAATGGTTGTTACCTTAACAATATATCTATATGTTTCCTGTTGTTTTTTAATTGACCACGAAATGTTATTAATGCGTAATTTATTTTTTCGAGGTTTCTCTTATGATTGAATAACTATTTTCGATAGGGCTTGCTCATTGAAATTATTATTACGTTAACCATCTGTGAAGCTGTTTTCGTTTACATATTGTACACTTCCTTATTTTAGGTGCATGTTAAAAAGAAGATAAAAAAACAAGAACATTATTACACCTGAGTACCAGGAAGAGCATATTAGCAGTATTTCAAGTCCTGTAACTTGTGGAGTTTAGTTGAGAAGACTTTTAATGGTGAAACGTGTAGGGTCATGTGATTCAATACAAAACACACTCCCCACTTTAGGTTCGTACCCCATAACCTCAGAAGTTAAAAAAGAAAATAGACTCGAAACTCACGTAACCCAGACACACGAAGGCCTCGGGCACAGCAGTATACTGAATTACTTCCGCTTGTCTGATCTGTAATGACTAAGGCCTGGTATACCAACTCATATTTCATGACTAAAGGTTTTTGTAGGACGCTTACACAAAACTACATTTAAAAAAGCCACGAGTTAAATGTTTTTTCTGAAGTAAAAAAAAACTGTACTCATAAGTTTAACGCTAACGTGTTACAAAACAAAATACATATTGTTAAAGTGCTGTATATTGTAAAAGTACTTTTAACGATTATATAGCAAAAATATATTGTTATATGTTAATTGTAAAGAGTGCTGTTCACGTGTTACATTCTATAAAACACTGTTTATGTGTTAAATACTGAATTTCCATTTATAAATACTTAGGAATACTTAGAAGCTCATACTATACTGCTTGATAAAACCTGAAGAAATTTCACGTGTCGTATTAAAAATATTAAAAAAAAAGCAAAATAATTACATAAAAAAATTCCAAAATGTTTGTACATTAATGTAATAAGAATAATAACTAATATTCCCCATAGCTACTTGGGCCGGGGATAGCCCAGTGGTTAATGTGCCACACTGTGGATCTGAGGTTCGAATCCCATTATAGTAAAAAAATCGAGCTCAGCAATTTGGAATGTGTATGCGTCATAAGAGTGTCAGTCAAATCCCACTATTCGATCTGAGAAGAGCAGCCCGAGAGTCGGCGATGGGTGATGTCAAGCTGTCTTTTATTTAATGTACCTATTTAAACTTAAGGACGGCTAGCGCAGATAGCGCTCCTGTAACTTTGTGTCGAATTCAACAAAATAAACAAACCATTCCAGTGCTAATTTTTCTTATAAATTTACCTTGTGTTGGAACGAAATATACCAAAACATATCTCTCACAATAACATACCTGATATTGGTTTGTTTATTTGTTTTTGAATTTCGCGCAAAGCTCCACGAGGAATATCTGCGCTAGCCGTCCTTAATTTAGCAGTGTAAGACTAGGGGAAAGGCAGCTAGTCATCATCACCCACCGCCAACTCTTGGGCTACTTTTTTAACGAAAGTGGGACCGTCACATTATAACGCTCCCATAGCTGAAAGGGCGAGCATATTTGGTGGGACGTGGGTTTGAAGGCGCGGCCCTTAGATTGCGAGTCAAGACCCCTAACCACCTGGCAACGACGGGTCGAAGAGACCTAAAATTAAAGTAATTTGTAAGCGTATGCGTTCGATGAGCAATGAAACATTCGAAAAACTGTTTAACATTTGCAAAGGTATCCAAGTGGTAAGTTAATATAATTTAGTTATCACAATTTGTATTAACTTTCACACCACTTGCGTTAATTTTAATGATACTTATTACACGTAATTACGTTCTACCATA